TGTGACGAAACGTATTGAGCTGGAGTAGGCGATGGCTGCACGCCTGTGTGATTTAGGATGCATAGCCACAGTGGGGGACCTGTGGTAGCACATTCGCAACCAGGTGACAGTTGCTGCCGAGGAGACCATCGGGCGCGCAAACTGTAAGCGTCCTGATTGGTTTGATGAGAACAATGCGACGATTGGCGCATTGGTGTCGGAGAAGAATGCAGCATTTGCTACGCGTGTGGCAGACGCCAGTGACTTGGGGAAGAAGAGTCAGTTTCGCAGAAATCGACAGCGACTGACCCGAGAGCTCCGTCGCATTAAAAATGCATGGTGGAGAGAGAAAGCGAAGCAGATGTAGTGCTACGCCGAACGCCGCCAATACAAGGAATTCTTTGACTCCTTGAAGGCGGTATAGGGACCGAGATTGGAGCCTCTGAGGACGCTGATCGATGGTAGTTTAGGCACTACCTGCACACAGACTTCAGATCTAGCAAATACACATTGACTGTCTCTTGAACAACGGTTCAGAGATCGACTGGCCTAGATTGGACCGCCTTACTCAGTACGATGTGAAGGCGAGTCTGGCAGACACACCGACACTGGAAGAGACGCAGAGAGTACTTGCTCAGCTGCGAAACGGCAAGTGTGCCGGTGCCGACGGGATCCCGCCTGAAGTATTGAAACACGGCGGATCCGCGTTGGTGACTGCGCTAATCCACTTGGTGCAACGCGTATGGATTGAGGAGAAGGTGGTGCCTGAACTGAAGGATGCGCTTGTGCTATCGCCGTACAAGGGCAAAGGGAGCAAACAATGTTGCACGAATTACCGTGGTGTCATCTTGCTGAGTTGGGTGGGCAAAGTGATTTCCCGAATCCTGCTCAACCGCCTCTTCAGTCACGTCGTGGAACCTAACGTGGCGGAAGAGCAGTGTGGATTCTGTTCGAATCGCAGCACTATAGATATGGTGTTTGCGGCTCGTCCGTTGCGGGTGAAGTGAGAGAACGAGACCAGCCGTTGTACTCGATTTTTGTTGATTTCACCAAGACATTAGATACGGTGAACCGCGAGGCATTATGGCTGATGTAGGGTAAGTTTGGTTGCCCGCGTAAGTTTGTAAGTTTAAGTGAATGTCTGCACAATGGTATGCGAGCGAGGGTGCAGCTGGGTCTAGAGACTTCGAATGACTTCGCAATTGTCTCTGGTGTGGAGCAAGGCTGTGTCTTAACTCCTGCTCACTTTAATATATATCTTCATGCCATGATGTCCTGTGCTTTCGACGCCGCTTGTGCTTACGGTGTTCGTGTGGAGTACCGTATTGATGGTGGGTTACTGAACATCCGTCGTCTCGGTGCGAGAACTCTAGTCTGTGAGACAACTTTCCGTATGTTTTTGTTCGTCACAATCAGCCGACAATTCAGATATGTCGACCGGGTATCCGGAAAATCACCAGACGGCCGTTTCACCCTATTGGTGCTCATTCGTGGTGCGCATCCTTCGGTCTTCTACGGAGGATCGAACCCATGACTGCTAGTGGCTCTTGCCAACTAGCCTGCAGCTTATGCAACTGCGCCATGGAGGACGGTATCTGACTATCATGAATTGTTAGGTAAATGCGATATAGCCCGACGCATCCTCCACTGCCATGCAGGCACCTGCCATGCAGATGACAGCGGTCGGCCTTCCGGCGTCAAGACCTCCCGGTTACGGCAGCTATGAATCGACATAGCATTTTGTGGAATCCGTACGGGCGAATTGGTAATACTTATGAATGGAAGGATTTTGGTGAGTATTTTTGTTCGTCGCAATCAGCCGACAATTCAGATATGTCGACCGGGTATCCGGAAAATCACCAGACGGCCGTTTCGCCCTATTGGGGCTCATCAGTGGTGTGCATGCTTCGGTCCTCTGCTGAGGATCGAACCCATGACTGCTAGTGGCTCTTGCCAACTAGCCCGCAGCTTATGCAACTGCGCCATGGAGGACGGTATCTGACTATCATGATTTGTTAGCTAAATGCGATATAGCCTCAATAAGGCGAAACGGCCGTCTGGTGCTTTTCCGGATTGCTGGTCGACATATCTGCATTCTCGGCTGATTGCGACGAACAAAAATACTCACCGAAATCCTTTCATTCATAAGTAACTTTCCGTATGTTGCTGTTTGCTGACGACTGTGCGTTGTTTGCATACAGGGCGGATGAATTGCAGCACATGACTAGTGCTCTGGCTTCGATAGCGGCCAAATTCTGGCTCACCATCAACACAAGCTAAACTGTCTGTCTCTGCCAGCCTTCACCGAAGGTGCAATCTACCATATTTCCGTAAATCAGCCTTGGTGCTGAAGTACTGAAAACCATCTCCCGCTTCTGATACCTTGGGAGTGTGGTGTCGACTGACCAGCAGCTACACAGTGAGCTTCGTATCCGCGTCCCGAAGGCTGCGTCGGCATTCACGAAGCTTGAGTACCGAGTTTGGAACAACCATCAGCTTACCGTTGGCACGAAGCTGATGGTGTACACATCCATGGTGCTGTCCGTTCTTCCATACAGCGTTGAAACGTGGATGATGTACCGGTGGGATGTGCGATATCTCGAGCGGTTCCATCAACAGTGTTTGCGGCGGATTCTGCGCATCGGATGAGGCGACAGAGTTGCGGACACGGAAGTGTTGCGTCGAAGTGGTATGTATGCAGTGGACTGCATACTTTTGCTGAGACACCTGAGGTGACTCGGTCATGTGTGGCGTATGGATTCGACGCGGATACCGATAAAACTATTATATGGTCAGCTGAGTATTTGGAAGCGGCATGTGGGGAAACCAAAGTTATGTTACCAGAGCATGATCAAAGTGAGCCTGAAAGGATTGTCCTGTTCTCCGAGCTGGGCATTTCTGTTGCAGACGTTTCGTTACCAAACTAGGTAACATGTTCATTGCAGCTACTTGGTGCTGATTCGCGGAGTCTTGAAAGAGCAAAAAACCACAGAGCGCGTGAGTTCCTCGAGGCCTGGCATTCTGGCCGGAACTCAATCAACAAACACCTGGAGCTGGAGGGTGTTTATGAAGCTCTGCAGGTTAAGCCAGCATTAGGCACCAGATCGACAAGGAGAAGAGGTGCCCACATGACGGACACGTGAACCGATCGAAGGCTGACATTCGAAGCAGGCAACAATCAATAGTCATTCAGATCTGGCATTGGTTTGCGAGAATCCGCGAATCAGCACCAAATAGCTGCACTGAATATGTTACCTAGTTTGGTAACGAAACGTCTGCAACAGAAATGCCCAGCTCGGAGAACAGGACAATCCTTTCATCCACATCCCGAGCTACAGGTATTCTCAGTAATTTCCAAAGTGAGCCTCTCACGTTCTAATCTTGGTTGCATATCATGGGAATCCAAAGCGGTTGGTCGGCGTGCATGGCGCGATTTGATCACGAAGGCAGTTGCCGAAGTGCGGGAGAAATCCCGCATGCATGCATTGAAGAAGCGGCAAGTACCGATGTGTTGTACTTCATCGACAGCGATCGCATGGTGTTGTAGCACATACGGTCGCGAGTGCCTGAGTCGGGCAGGCCTAGTGAGCGTTGAGCGAGGCCACTCGGGGCCACCACTAAAGCGACAGCGGGTTCTGCAGAGAACGTAGGCAGAACCGGGTCAGCGTTTGTAGGTACGCTGCATTCGATTTACTGACCGCGTGTTTGCATGCTAAGTCCCTTTATTTCAGGTGGTGCGTTTGCTTAATTGGCCTAATACACTTTTGTCATAATAATGTTTACCTCATCTGTCCAGTATAAGCTTGCGCGGGTCCCTGCTTTAGTTAACTGCCTTAACATTTTGGCTTTTGTGACATTCCTTAAAATATGTTTTCTGACCTCTTGTGCTTATCGCGGATTCGTTCGTAATCATTTCTTATACGCTCACTCAGTGAAAAGTTATGTCTCCGTATCTGTATGCATTGTTCGATTTATCTTATTTGATATTGTCGTTTCTAGTGATTGGCTGTTGCTTGATATCCCCGGTGTGGCTGCGCTTGATGTGCATGTTGACAAGGTGCCTACCTGTCTATTACCCACTACTTCGTCCATACTGGCTCCAGGAGATAGTTGGTCGTTGTTTGAAGGGATGGAGTGCACGGTCCTTGTGGTCGTGCTAAGCTCGAAGAGTGGTTCCATGCATTGAGTTTGGGGCGGACTACGATCCAGCCACCGCCTTGTGTGCGCTTGATTCCCCAAATACAACGTGCTTGTGTTTGCCTGTGAAGGAATGTGGGCCGGCTCCGTTGATGAAACGTGGCTCCCATCCACATGCCTCCCGGTGTTATTTCTTTGGGTTTACACTGGATATGGGGTGTGTGGATGGAGCTGTGAGTGGTGCAGCGCAAGGCATCCATGGTCCCTCTGTAGGCGCAGGCGTCCTGTGGCTGACCACAGTGACAGGCAAATCCGAAACCGGATGCCGCGAACAATATATATATATATATATGTATATATATATATATATATATATATATATATATATATTTGCTGTTGCTGTACTTTGTTGGTGTGCTTTCCTTCTCTGAACCCTTTGCTTTTTGATTGCATCGCCAGGCACACTGCTTTTTTCCGTTGTGACCTGCATGTGCGCTTTTTTTGCGTTTGTGCATGCGACCCCGCCGTATGCTTCTCCCGCACACGAATGCGTGTTTTCGCCTCGGTACACCGGCATACTGTGGATGCGTTCCTCTAACAAACTCGCGTAGCCTTCATTCTTCTGAACGCTGTTGCGCTACTGCTCTTTCGGTCACTTTCACCATCACACTGTATGTATTAATATTCTGAAGATGATTTCAACAGTGATGATTGTGCTTGTCACCATCCCGACATTGTTCGTTTGTGCGGTATCCTGTGTCTGTTTTGCACGCCTCTTGGAATGCTGCGAGCTCTCTCCACTTGTGAATATACTTTTTCCTTTACCTTGGTTTCACAGTGAATCTGGCGGTGTATTTTTCATCTATGCGATATTTCTGTATTTCAGTCAGTTTACACTGTATTCACATACCGGATTACTGGATTTTGCGATGTCAAAGCGTAGAGCCGATGTGGAGTTGAATCAAGATAACTGGGACAAAGAGTTTGAAGTGAAAGATTCGGGTACATTCGAGAGGGCAAATAGGATAGCCATTTCTGACCGCAAGATATTGACAGCCAAATCGAGGAAATCAGCGGTATGTTCGGTGTTTTATGACTCCATTGCAGGGTTATGGTACTTCGGGAATTTTTAAATCCTTTACGGGATTTTCAGAAAGCATGACCAATGGTCATTCTGGCTTCAGCTTTAACTTTGCTGCAAAATCAGCAGGCTCATCTGTTGAGAACAGCAACGTCTTTCCTACCTTAACTCCTGCCGGTTTTTCTTCTCTGGAGACGGAGAAGGAGTACCTCAAACAGTTACAGATCCTCAATCAGAACTTTTTGGACTGGATTACCAAACACTTACAAGATGATCCCCACTGCATTTTATCCCCCGTTTTCATCGATTATGATAGGCATCTCAAGGCACTTGAGGATCAGTTTCCTAATCGAACCACGGCGAATGAAAAGGATTCAGGCAACGGCTCCACCACTAACAAGCATGGCTTAGGTAGCCTGTTACCAAAGCTTGTTCCCTCCACTGCTTCTCAAACGTTCCCGTTGGCCGCCATCCACACTGACTCGCAACCGCTCACCCATACTATATGTCCGGCCTCTTCGTCTTCCGTTACTACCAGCGTACATATTTCTGCGAATCCTGGTTTTACCTTTGGTTTTCCACCTCTAACATCTAATACATCGGCTCCGCCACTTTTCAAGTTTGGGACGTCGCTTCCCAGTGGCTCTCCATTTGCTTCAACTGATAACACTACGCCTGAGTGCACATCGACAGCGGACGAAGGTAGTTTGAAACTTTTACTCTAAGCTTTTGTAGACGGCGAAGTATACAAGCCCCCTGAGCCTGTCGTCAAAGAGATTAAAGAAGAAGGTTCTGTCTTCTCGACGCGGTGCGTAGTCCAGTTTTTTTTGAAATTTGCAGTCCTATTTAGTCTTTGTTTTGCATGATTTAATGTACGTTTTGTTCGATTTGTCTCTCGATTCTTTATCACTCAAAGTGTTTGGCACTTCAACTCTTCTCGTGAAGCGATCTCATTGCATTTTTAGTTGACCATTGGGGAAGTTACGCCATTTGCTTTCCAGGACTATAACCCATGAAGATTTTCACTTCACTTACCACGTGTTTTAACATTTCCCTAAATGGTTCTCAGTTGGAACACGGTCCGGGCGTTCCGAAGACCTGCATAAGAATATGACCGAAGATATATCCATAACTCTCCTAATGGAGATCATACAGAATGAGTCATCTGTTTTGAATTACTATTACTGCATTTCAAGTTTCTCAATATCCTATGTTGAGGTCAGCATACCGCCTTAATGGTACCTCACTTATTTCTCGAATAATGGGGGCCTCCGGAGGTCGGTTTACTACTGAACTTTGATGGTTCTTTATTCGACAGTACGCTTTCGATATCCTTTGTGTAGGATAGGCATGCCCATGATTATTACTGTTGGCCCTGCAGATGCGGCGCACAGCCGCTCAGAATGGAGATCTCATTTCACACAGCCAGTTCAGCTGCCAGCTTTGACCTGCTGGACCAGTTTGTCACGCGTCTCTATAATCACCAAAATTAAAGCTGGATGAACCACATTTTTGAAATAATTGATAAGAGCGAAATGAAGCAGCTCTATTCGATACAGGCTGTTAGATATGGAAGGCATGAATCTAGTGGACTTTGTTGTGTGCGACTATCTGCGCACGACTCCATTCCGCTTAGGCTGTGCTGAATGGTGGTTCTTGTCACTTCACGATCTACTCTCGCTCGACTGAGCAATAATTAGCTATCACCTAAACTCAGCCTCCTGCCCTGCCAAGTTAGGGGCTAGAAGTGGAAAGGCACTAATTTTTATCAGATTGGCACAACCATTGGACTGCTGCCACATTCCGGCTACCTTGCACTCGAAGTTTTTCTCCAGATCTCGATTTAGTACCATGGTCCTTCTCCCACTTACTTGTTTAGGCCCTAATATATCGGCCTACATATAATCTTGACCTTCTCAAACACCATCCTTTATCGGTCATCACTGTTTCAAATGGACCACCTTGCATATAATAGGGCAGATATACAAACTAACCGCGTGCTTGCATGCTAAGTCTCTTTATTTCAGGTGGTGGGTTTACAGTTTTTACCTTAATGCTTTTCTTTCTCATATAAATATCTCCCTGTACTCTATTTCATTAATTTGCACACATCGCCTAAGCCAAATGTATTCGATTTCCATAATATTTTTGTCTTCGTGGCATTCTGTGAACTATACTTTCTGACCTCGTGCACTTAGCTAGGATTTGTTTGTAATCAACTTATTACATATGCTATTTAATCAAGGTTTATATCACCGTTTCCTTATGCATTAATCGAGTTTTTCTTTTTATCTTTCTCTCTTTCAAGTGTTTGGCTGTTGTTTGATATCCCCGGTGTGGATGCGCTTGATGTACATGTTGACAAGGTGCCTACCTGTCTATTACCCACTACCTCCTCCATACTGGCTCCAGGAGACAGTTGGTCGTTGCTGAGGGGACAGGGTGCACGGTCCTTGTGGCCGTGTTAGGATCAAAGAGTGGCTCCATGCAATCAGTGTGGAGCGGACTACGGTCCAGCAACCGCCTTGTGTGCGCTTGATTCCCAAATACAGTGTGCTTGTGTTTGCCTGTGAAGGAGTGTGGGCCGGCTCCGTTGATGAAACGTGGTTCCCATCCGCATGCCTCCCGGTCTTATTCCTTCGGGTTTACACTGGATATGGGGTGTGTGGTTGGAGCTGTGGGTGGTGCAGCGCAAGGCATCCATGGTCCCTCTGTAGGCGCAGGCGTCCTGTGGCTGGCCACAGTGACAGGCAAATCCGAAACCGGATGCCGCCAACCATACAAAACAAACCGCTTCGATTGCTTTCCTTCCTTCGTCGCCACCTATTCCTTCCACAGTCGTGAATGCTCATTCTTAAACTCCCTTCTGTAGTCCACAGAGCAAGTGATGGTTCGAAGAAGTGTGCCTTGTTAGGCTGCTTGATGAGTGACACAACACTTTGTTTCTCCAAACTATACGGGTCTGGAATATTTGACAGTTGACTTGTTGTTAGGGCTGTCAACCACTACCACCATTAGGAATAAAAAACTTGATCTCACCTACCCCCCCCCCCCGGGACAGCTGTGCCAATAGGATGGAAAAGCTACTAGACCGCTCCAGTCATTCCTATTGTTTTTGGAGAATTAGAAAATCGTTATTCCTTCGGCTGCTTTGTAAGGGTAGCACATCCAAATAGTGTGCTATTTCTGTTGCTATGCAGGAGCAACCTAGTGTCACACTGCGAGCGCGAAGTTTCTAAGTCATTCAACCCCCTTAACAATTGGCTTGAAGTGCTAGTTGTTACAGTTCACTTCCAGACCCGTCTGGCCGCCAGCTTGAGCTTCAATCACCGCACTAGTCGTTCGATTGCAGCGTTTATGGTTGTTTTTAATAGTGCCAACAAAGAATCACTGGATATTTCGCTGTTTCTTTGGTCCGAAAGACGCCTCATCACTTACCGACCTGTTTTCTCGCGAACTGAAACTAGGCAACCAAGTTTCCAGCATTTGACATCAGCTTTGGGGCCAACGCATGCTAGCTGCATCTAAATGTTGATTGCCTCAGTTGGGGAGATCTGGTCGACATCAAAGGTGAATGGATGTAGTGAGGTGGCTCTGCCCTCCTTTACTTTTTGAAAGCCCATGGCGGGGCTGTACGCTATAGGGCTCGTCCCCTTATTGTGAATTAGAAACTGTCTTCCTTGCGGAGTTAACTACGATTAAGTTCCGTTTGAGATGAGTAAGCAGTCGCGGATGATCAGCGGCAGCATCTCATAGCATGGGGAGTTCTAGGGTAACCACTTGCTTTTCCATCAAATACCACAAGAGCTCGTACGGCGCTGTGTTAAAGCTAATGTGACCGGCTGTAGGGTCACGGACCACTCATTTATGTAACTAGAGATGAGTACCTATCGCAGAGCGGATGAACAACTTTGTTGGCCACCGGTTTCTGTGCGGATTGCTGCCGAACACTAAGGTTAATGAGTCACCTGGCTGTCAAAGGTCTTCGTACTCATGGGTGCTTGGACGTTCCAGCGACGTTCGTTGATCGCTCCGCTGCCTTGCGGGTCAGGTCTTTAACATCAAAGCCTCCGAGTGTTATCCCTTAAGTTAACCCTTTTCCTTGGCACGAGTAGTCGGGAAGTTCTCTGTCCACACACCACATGAACCTACGTACCCCTTCCCCTGCCTACCTCTTCCTCCCTTTTTTGTTGTTACTCATATGTTGTGGCACGGCCAATTATTTATTGGTGGCGCACTTTACTCAGTGAGCCATGCATCGGTTAGTCCTTGTGATCTTTGTATCATCTTTCAGATTTTGCACACGTTTTTGCAACTAGCATGTTAGAGGGTTGAAAATCATCCAACTTCATCTTGTTATGCGCTCGCCCCCCTCAGGATTATGATTTCATTTCTTACTTGATTAGATGCAAGTTGTTCTACAAGACTGATGTGGAATGGAGGGAGCGTGGTGTCGGCAATCTTTATATCAAGCCATTAGTGGATAACAAGTTCCAGTTGTTAATTCGCGCCAACACTAATCTCGGTGAGTGAGTTTTTAATTTTTACTTTCTCGTTACCTTGGTGGTCAATAAATGGGGGCGTTTTAGTATTCTTAAAGTGTAGTCTTTTGTGGCACGATGGCTGAGGGGCTTCTCGCCTCAACTGACATATAGAATTATACTGATGAGTCTGTCATTTATGCTTAGTGTTCGTTTCCTCAGTAGCTCCTCTTTTATGCGAGCGGCCCTATCTTAACCACCACCTCACACACAAGCTCAGTGATGTTACACCTAACAAACGCATGTTATTTATTTAACCATTACTTGTGATCATTTCCCCCTCTACGGTTTAATGTGCTGCCCTATCCCAGTAGCTGTGGTATGTATGTATGGCGATTAACTACTGGTTTCGCGATGAATTCACTCGTCTGCAAATATTTTCAATCATCCGCTTTTTTCCTTGGCCTTCATAGCTATCTACTTGTATCTGTTGCGAGTTTCTTTGTCCCTCCCCCTCGAACCACGATCTCATTGTCTACGTATTGTATAACTTTTTTGCAGCCCGATAGCCAGTTTCTAGTTCTTCAGTTGTCTGGCCTTTGTTGTATGTTTTTATCCTTTCTCATGTACCGCGGCACGATAGCTGAGGTGTTTCCCACTTCTAGCTAACGTGTATCCTGATGATAATGTTGTTGTTGATGATGATGATGGTGATGATGATGATGATGATGCATCTGTTCCGCTGGTTACAGTGCACACCATCCCCCCATAATGTGGCTGTTCGTGATGAAGACGTGCGCCACCTCACCGCGCATCTCGTTACACGGAGGAGCTTGTGCGTGATGACATGATCTGATTGGCATATTCATCTACACCATCTCATGCTCCGCTTGTGGCTTTTGTGCTGCCTCCTTTCCCAAGAAGCAACAAAAACAACGATTGATTCAGACGCATCTTCCACGTTCACGAACGTGGTCTTCGTAATCCTTATACTACGGTTGCGTCCAGGGGGAAATAAAAGCGGTTTCACGTCTTTTACGCACTCGAAAATTTCCTTTCCCTTTTCTACTTAATCCGACAGAGTGGCACACGTTTTCTGAATCTTTTTCCTTACATCGTGATGGCTACTCTACCCGTGTCTACTGATGCTCCCGGTCCGACGGCCATGGACCCGCGGTGTCGTGGTTCACGCGTCTGACTGGCATTCATCATCATCATTATACACGTTAGCTGCAGATGGAAAACACCTCAGCTATCGTGCCGCAATACTAAAGACAAGAAGAAAAAATACAACAGTGGCACGCTGGCTGAGCCCCCAGTAACGGATGGACATCGTTCCGGAGAGCTAACAGCCGGCTATCGTGCAGTAAAAAAAGTTATATTATGCCTAGCGAATGGGATCGTGATTTGAGGGGGATGGACAAAGGAACTCACAACACAAACGCCATTGGGGCTGGCTCCTAGCCATATCTGCAAGTGTGTCCAACCAAACGTGTTCATCGTCCTTAGGACTCCAGCCAGGCAGTCGGGATGCACCAACCGACGCCAACTTCGAAGGGAGGGTTTTCATATCTCTCGATTAAGTCATCGCTTGGCCTCCCCTCCCTCTTCTCCAACCTCACGACCGGCGCGCAAACAATGCACGTCGAGGGAGTCGGTGTACTGGCATGCGCAACACGTGGCCCAGCCATCGGGGCCTGGTGCGTGATATGATGGTGCTGAGCGGTTCACTCGCTCTTCCTGCACAAAATACGCGACTTGCATTCCCTACGCTCTGGACCCGAGTCTATGCTCCAGTCAATGTCTAGATGCTATGACTGTTTCCCACCCATTGTGCCGTTGATCACGATCTCATGGCAACGAAAGCCCGTACAAAGTAGTGCTGATACTTTACCTTGTCTTCGCTGTACTCAGTGCCCAACTTTGCTGAGCAGAAACACCTACAGAAGACCGACTATGGTGGTTTTCTTTGACTTGAAAGCCGCCCTCGACTCTGTTGATCGCACCAGTTTGTGGCGCTGCCTACCCGTGAAGGGCGTGCCAGCTAAACTCCCTGCCCTGAAGTCCATCTACCATAATTTCCGAAGCCGGGTAAGGGTCTACGGGAAACTGTCTCCTGAGTTCCCCACGACTAGTGGGGTTCGCTAGGGTTATCCTATGTCTCCTTTCCTCTTCAACTTTGTGATCGAAATGATCATGAATGACTCGGTTCTTTTCGGAGTGGCAGTTCTGCAAGGGGACCGACTGACAAACCTTGTGTATGCTGACGGCATAGCTCTCCTTAGGTCTGACGCAGTGGATATGCAAACATAACTGGACAAACTGACGCATAACACTGCACGTCTCGGCACGTGCTTTGGACCTTCAAAGTACAAAGTATTGTTGCAGTACTAAACCCGCACACCTGTTTTAGCTATTAACGAGCAACCTCTGGAAGTGGTGGATCGTTTACTTTTCTTGGTGCTCATATCATTAGGAGGTTACTTTGCGTATCAGCAAGTCCCGTGTAGCTTTCCAGAGACAACCAACTATGGAGACGGCAGTATATCAGTCTGTCAGTGAAAGGTAGGGCGTATAACGCTGCGATAAGGCCGGTGTTACTGTGTGGACCATAGATCTGGCCAGTTTTCAGTGAAGACATTAAGCCCTTGGCCGTGTTTCATCACTGATGCTTACGGATTATTGCTCACGTCTGGTGGGAACACCGAGTGCGCAGTGTTGGTGTCCGCCAGTTGCATTTTGACGAGAATCCTTCTGATGCTCCACTCTAGTGAATTCTAAATAGTAACCGTCTACGTCGACTAGGCCATGTCTTTTGTATGCCCGTTGACCGGTTTTCTCGGTGTGCGTTATAAACTATGGATGTACCAAGATGGACGAAACCGTGAGGTGGCCAGTCCATGACGTGACATAGGGACATAAAGAAATTGTCTGTGAGACTTGGTCAGGTTACCGCGTGCCGTCTTCATGCACGAGAGCTTCGGGATGGTCCACGCCAATGCTTGGAGATTTCATCAGACATAGCACAGTCGCGGAGTCAGTGGCATTCCTGCATTCGGTTTCTTGCATCCGCCTGTTAAGCTTTACTCCATCCCGATTAGTTTTGCGCTCTTCTGTCCTGATTCCATATTTTCGTAGTCTATTTGCATTCAACTTTTTCTTGTTGTCTTTATTCTTACGGTGCGTGTCGTAGCAACTGGATCCACCGCATTTCGATGCCCATACCATAGTTGTTTAGCTAAATTGAACTGAACTACCTGCCTTTAGTAGCGCAGCACTTTTTCTTTCCCACAATTATTCCATTTTCCTTTTGCTTACATGCGATGCTAATCCTCATTTTTGCCCTACTTTTCAAATGCAACAAACATTTCGTTCATAAGGTTACTTCAGTACATTACCCTTGATGTACCTGCACACGAACGACTAAACCGACTCGTGTTACGGTGTTGATGCTACTTCCAAGACAGAAGCTTCTAAAGTACCCAACTTGATCATCGCTCAACTCTTCTTCATCTCACAATCCGTAGCACGTGCCCCTGCTCCGAACCACGTTTAAGCTGTTACGTCGGCAGGTAACTGACTATGCTTTTGGGGAAAGAGGTTAAAGCCCTCGCAACTCCGAGGTCGCTAAATTAATAGCTCAAGACCACTATGGTATCGGAGCGTGATTACGTGCGTGTCTATTTGGTCAATCACGGCTGGACTGTCGGGTTGAAGTTGATCCGTTTATTATCTCTTACTTCACCATGATAATGCTCTTTTTACTAGACTGACAAAATGAGGAAAGCGGAAACTCAGTGGTGACCAGAATTCAAAGGAAGAGGAATGGAATTTGGTATACTTTTTAGATGAGGTGCATAATAGTTAAAATCCACGAGCTGAACTATAGATCCCCATCGGTTTCGTGACTACGCCACGACAACGTGATTCGCCGCTCACTTGATGTGGTTGCCTATACTGAGGCCCTCATCCAAAATCATTTCACGCATCAGCTGCACCGCTTCTCCTGATCGTACTTCCCACGCCTTTTTATTGCGTTGTCAACTGTCCACCCTGTAACCTCACCTTCCAACCAGACCTGGCGCCGACGAACAATGTACACCCAAGATGTACCTCGGCCGGCACTCTAATACATGGGCTATACAGCGTAGATAGATCAAATGCAGAACCTGCTTGTTTTTGACGACAGAAGTCATAATAGGAATCTCGTCATTACTCATGCGTTGTTCCCACCACATGCGAGCAGTGGCGTGTACACAACTGGTTAGAAGGTGATCACTAATGTTCAAACTAGTAACCACAATCTCTGTTCTGTACTGTGGTACTAGCTGGATCGCCAAGTTACGCGTTTTATCCCTCTCTAACGCACAAACGTACGCCAGCCATCATCGCTCATCGTGACTTTGAAAAACCCCACTTGCTTCGTCGATGCGCACAGTAGATTTGTCGGCTCTTCCAGTACCAGGGGTGATACGACAACCCAGCTGAGTGAACCGATCAACAGTTTCGAGTAATTTTTTGCTAACTCTCAACCTCATTAACGTGTTGGTCCAGACTTGCAGCAACAAACTGCACTTTGGAGGTATGTGGCACGTGCTGAAGAGCGCAGCTCTGTTTTGAACTACTTGCACAGGAGCTGGATCCGACTCCAAGACATCCTGCCTTCCACCAACTCTTACCCCCTTGTTCAATTACTCCTCAAGGCCTCTATCGCAAAGGTAGACAGGACAGCGTCGTTCATTCTGTTTTCTACTACAAGGCGGAAGGTTGAGGAGATAATGCAGTTTGGACACAGCACTTACTGTGATGCACTCAGCATGTAGCTTTTCATAACTTTCTACACGACCATGGGCAGCTTGACATTGAGGATTTTACAGTAGAGGGAGATTTCTCTTGCGCTCTCCTCGTATATAAGCAATATCCGAAACAGATCCAATCGACCGAATAAGAAGCGATCTTCAACCTACGGAAAGCTGCTATAGTGAGGGCTATTCTGTCTCCTTACGAAGGGTAACTGCCATGGGCTTTATTAACTCGATCTCGT